CGGTCATTAGAAGCCCAGTTTGGCATACGAAAGCCGCCTTGAGAGAGAAGTTTACAAATTTCGTCCACAAAACGTTTGGCTGAATCGACATCACATAACGAGACTAGACAATCATCAACGTATATAATCTGGTGAATCGCTCTGCAAGTTGATGAAGAGTAAGATGAACCGAAATCTCCAACAGTTTTTTGCAACGCAAAGGTGGCACAAAAGGGCGAAGAAGTCAATCCGAATGGGTGAGATGTCCATTGAAACTCAACTGGCTCTCCTTCAAGGTCGTCATTTTCCCACCACAAAAATTTCAGAGCAGGTCGATCAATCGGGTCCACTTTCACTTGCAAGAACATTTCCTCTATATCCCCTGCCACTGCAATACGCTCAAGTCGGAAACCCAACAACACACTTACTAGCTTAGCGTTTAGGTCAGGTCCTTGGTATAGATTATCATTCAGAGACACGCCCTGACACTTGGCAGCACAGTCAAATACAACACGAATTTTTTCTGGTCTTCGGGGGTTGACAACGGGGTGGTGTGGTAAGTACCAGTGTCTCGTAACTGGGAACGCTTTGTTGCCGTCAACTCGCTCGATGTATCCCTTCTCCATGTACGAACGGAACGGTTGCTCATATTTCCGAAGTAATTCGGGATCTCGACCCAACTTACTCTTGAGATGGATTAGTCGTTTACGCGCCAACTGAAAATTGTTCGGTAAATTCAGCGTACTGCTTCGCCAAGGGAGTGGCAGTTGGTAATGCCCTTTTATGATTGTAACGGAAGATTGCACAATAGCCTGTGCCCGTTTGTCCTCCAATGAGTAACTCGCAGTCGTTGTTGAAGTGTCCGTAACCTCCGAGTCGTATAGCTTCTTAATGCTGTGCGTTACGTCCTTTTCTTGATTTACAATGCAGTGACAGACAGCGTTTTGTTTTTGCCTGCCACGTGAAGACCCAAGCAGCATCCAGCCCAGTAGTTTTTTAACGGCGAACGGCTCCCTTTTGCCACCCAGACGTTGGTCGAGTACCCAATGAGCTTCCACGATATCATTCCCAATGAGTATGCTAACCTCGCAATCAGTGAGCTCGTCGAACATTATATCGCTCAGGTGTGGCCACGAAGAGGCTATCCTTTTAATTGTCGATTCTGCACGAAGTGGCAAGTCTTCGACTACTAAAGCCCTTTCAATCTCAACTGACTCAGTTCCATTCATGGGCAGCACCCTTAGACTTCTGACTTCCGAGTTGCATTTGATTGAACCGCTTAAGGTGTTTATTGTCAATGTTGTTGGCGTTGTTAGCACTCCATTTCCGACAAGAAGCTTTCGTTTAATCAGAGTGACATCCGAGCCACTGTCCAAAAATGCGTAAGTTTCGACGTTTCCTGTCGGAGTTGCCAACTTGACAGGAATAACCCCCAGTCGTGATAGTACATGCGTAGTTCCAGTCAGGGCACAAAGCCCTTCATCATGTAATGTTTGTTGATTATTTTCCGACGATATTACATGCAAAAGCGTATGATGTCGTTTTTTGCACCCGGAATGACCGCAAAGTTCTCTGGAGCTGCACACCTTGGCAAAATGCGTATTACCAAGACAAACAAAACACGCTTTGTGTTGCTGCAGACAATTCCATCGATCTGCGACACCCATTACAATTAAACGTGGGCAATTTGCCACTTCATGTGCATTAGAACATATGTAACATGGCCGTTGATCTAGTTCGACACTCGAAATGGCAAAATTGTTAGGGTTTTCCCGTTTTTGATGTTGGGCTGTGGCAGTAAAGGGCTGTTGAGAGCGCTTGCCATCCCCATCTCGAGATATTTGTCCGAAACGACTTCTTGCTATCCTAGCTCGAGTATTTACGAATTCCGTGAGGTCTGCAAAATCCGGATCTCTACCATTCATAGATATTTTATCAGCAACTTCAGCCCATTGTATCTGCATAAAAAACGGCAAACAACGCACTATTCGCTCTAGGACATTCAGCGATTGTAGGTCGGAAACGTAGTTCATTTGCGTGAGCGCTATTTCACAACTTCTCATTTTTATGCACAAATCTGAAAGTGCCTTCGCAGTCTGGTTAACTTGGCGTGCCTGTCTGAAAACACCGTCCAGAAGAGCATTAGCCACTACATGTGGCTGACCAAATAAGCTGCTCAATATTTCCCGTGCTCTTGAATAAGCCGAAGGTGAGGGAAGCATGACGCATTCTTTTATGGCCGCTCTCGCATCACCTCTGCAATAGTGAATCAAATACAGCAGCCTCTGTCCAGCATCTTCAACTTTGGTCTCTACGTACACTTCAAACTGTCGTATAAACCTCCAATAATGAACTGGTTTCCCGTCAAACCAGGACAACTCAACCTTGGGCAGTTCTAAACTGGCAGCTGGCAGGCTCCTAGCGCTTGCTTTGGGCATATCAACATTGTCACGTTGGCAATGATTATTCTCTTCAGGAGAAATTTCATTTAATGTGCATTGTTTCAAATATCCTGAGACATGCGCGACGGAATCCACGGGTTGACGGTCGTCATCGGACATCTCTTCATCGGTCTCTACCTCTATCCTTGCTAACTCTGTCCTTTTTTCTGCGTCAACAATAGCCCGTTGGAGTTCGACCTCACGTTCAACTCGCCTCTCTTCTATTTCGGCTATTTTTAAAGCTTTAACTGTTTTACTAGAGCTACGACTACTAATAGAAACGTTCTTACAAGAGCCGGACTGGACGTCTTTCTTCAGCTCTCCTTGTCCTTCGAAGGCACCTGGTTTGTGTAGTCCGAGAGACTGTTGCGTACCGTCCGATTCATTTTTCATGGAACGCGTCTGCATTTGATGAGATTAATTTCCTCCAATTTCTGGTAGGATGTTGAGTACTGTGGAATTCTTTGCTGGCAAAGTGACGCGTATAAGCCAAAACAGCTTTCGGTGTTTATACGGTACTATTGATAGAATAAAGTAATAATGAAAAAACGTACAAACCTCAACAATGGATACCCTGGACAAAGAATTCCTTTGTTAATGTTCGAGCAGATCGAATTCCCAGCTCAAGGTCAGAATACAAAATTAGTTAATTAAAAGAACGCCGATCGCGCTCAAAAAAAGGTTACAAAAGGGGAAGGGGAATGTCAACAGGGGCCAAATGTGGAAGCACTTGAGAGGAGGGCGTGGAGAATTCCAAGCGTTGACCGGCTGGATACAACACTAAGCATATTCAAACTCTCCTGGTGCGACAAGTACTTTAGACTGTCGACCATATTTAATGCTCTTTGTTGCATAGAAGGGAATTAGGAGGAAACGTTGTCTGACAAGCAGGTAAAAGGGAAAATATAGGATCAGGTTCGCAGATAAAGATCGATTTAAAGAAATTATAAAGAAGGGACAACTCAACCTGGTCATCACTCCCCGGTTATCCATCTGAAGACTCAACATCCAAATGAACAGACACCGGTCTGAATGCCAGAAGAGCAGGAGTTAGATTGCGTTCAATCACGCGTCGTTTCAGTTTCTGTACACGATTTCTACTATGTCATTTTCAAGAGGATTTAACATAGTAAGCGGATTAAAAGTACGATTGTAAAAAAACTTTAATAGTAAAAATAGTCCATTTTGTAACCTATGAAAACACAAAGCATCAAAGCCTGTAAGCCGGCAACGTTCTTGGTACGACAAATACCGGTGTTTCGGTGTTAAAACTCTCTTGGTAAAAAATTTTGGATGGATTCTATTTTCCCCTTGGTCAGCATCACGCATGCGGCTTAATAAAAATAAACAGTATTCCAGGCCAGGCCTCACGTACATGTTATAAGGACGCATTCTAATATCGCTGATTTTAAAGTCTCGTTGGATAAACTCGGTCGTTCTTTGTGCTTTGGAGACTATCAGGACGCAGCGCTCCGAAAGATGAAGACTCCTGGAGTATGATATGCACAGATACTTGATAACTCCAGACACATTTACGCCGTGACCGTCAATACTTAGTTGGAGTTGGTACTCATCGCCAACCACAATGACTGAGCATTTATGCCAAGAGAGGGAAAGGCGCCATTTGCGACACCACTGGGCAAAAGCCTGTTATTTGCTCTTTTGGAGATCGAGAACATTGTCGCGATCTGGCGGCTTATACCTATTTGCAACTTCCAGATCTTCGGCATACAGGAAGAACTTACCATTCTGGAATAAATCGGACACTTTGTTGAAGAAAGCCAAAATAATAGTGGGCCAAGTATACTACCGTGAATGACTCGACTCCTCATACATGTTGAGTTGGAGATGGCATTGGAAATCTTAACTCGCTGTGTGCGAGCGCCCAGGTAAGAGGATATCCAATTCAGAAGTCTACTACATATGTGGAAAGAGCAGGGTTTCAAGAGGAGAAGAGAATGATCAGCACGATCAAAAGCCTTGGTGAAATCGAAGTCGACCATTTTTCCCTAGATTGGAGAACATGATCGAAGAAAGAGAGCTGACAGGTGTCACAAGACCGAGCTTTGAGGAATCCATGATGTGCAGCGCTCAGTAGGTTATCTTTTGTTAAGTGACACAAAAATGGCGATTCCAGTCTCCCTTGTTTTTGTCAGTAATAACATACTGCCTACATCATCTTATCTTTGATCACGTCTCTGAGATTTTCTAAACTGCGGGGAAGGTGTTTATTGGCCGGAAGTCATCAAATAGCGTGGATCGGCCATTCGTGGGCATAGGCAAGATATGTGATTCCTTCCACAAAGTAGGATATGTTTCACTTTCGAGAGCGAGATTAAATATCTTGCACGTTTGCATCCGTATTTAGAATGCTAACTGGGACACCATTGTGTCCGGGGCTATGAGGTTGACAAAAGCGCCAAGTGGCTACATGTATGCCACACAGGGTGCAATTTGTAGTTTCGAGGACAGCCTAGTCAAGGCCTGGGTGGTCGTAAACGGGATGTTTGAGTTTTTAATAAAGGTTTTGGACACGAAAGCATTGAAACTTTAAGTGATCAACTGGGAATCAACTATGGGATGACCGAGAGCATCTCGGAGGGAGGTATGCTGCGTTCTTCTGTGAGTTCGTACTTTTCGGGAGCAAAGTTTCGAGACATTTAACGAACGGTTTTCGGTGAATTGATCCGCTTCGACCAGCTGATTTTATCAAACAATCTCCTAGCCAGCTGAAAAATATCTCAAGTCGATAGAGGACCAGAAACGTCGTCGTGAAGACGGAATCGACGAGGACGTCTCCGCATCCTGCGGCGAAATTGCAAGTGTAGGTAAACATCTTCCCCGACAGTAATTATTTTCCTGCGGGGGACAAAACGAGAAATAAGCGAATCTAAAATTTTGCACAGTTTAGCAGTTTAAACACTTACATCCGAACTTAGGAAGAAGTCAATCAGGTTGTAGGAATTAAGGTGTGTTAATGATTCGGCTGAGCGAGCTAATCAGAAATCGAAGATGAAGTTATACTTTGAGGACAAAATTTTGCCAGCCTCGAGTTCTAACATCGAATCAACTATGTCGTGGCTTGAAACTCCGAGTGGGCCTAGGAATGGCACTGTCAAGGGCCTGAAACCTCTACAGAAAATAAGGTCAAGTATAGAAGCGAAGAGCCGAGTCCCATTAAGTAGTCTTGAAGAAGGAGACACGATCACCGGGACAAGAGCTTTATTAGCCTGACGTTTCGGATTCCTTCTCGAATCCATCATCAGAGACAAAAGAGCAGAAACGGGTGGTTGCTGCACAAGGGGCTGCGGTATTTATAGGATGCAGCAGCCATGCCACCGCATGCCTATGAACGTTCACGGCTTCCCCCTTCATCCGGGATTGTCACACTTGGGGTGATCATTGCTTGATGGCCGACATTCGAGTCGATAATTGCCGCAATTTCATCACGTGCGTTGGATGTTGGCGTGATGATTGCTCGACCATCTGATGCGTTGACCCGGGTATTGGGAAGAGTGTTCACCAGTGCGCTCCCCGCGTGGCCAATTACTCCGCCTAGACGAAGTCTGAGCACGCTGTATTTAATGGGAAGATCGTTGCACTTGTTGATGGACTGGGGGCCAGTAAACCATGATTCCAGTAGCTCCCTGCTCACTCGGTTGTCACCTCTTGCGAGAATTTCGGCCTCATCGAATTTAAATGTGTGGCCGGATCTCGTCGAATGAGCCGCAACTTGAGAGCTGGCGTCATTTCTGCGCACCGCTGCCGCGTGTTCGGCCATTCTCGTTCGGAGCTGTCTTCCGGTTTCTCCGACGTAGTTGCTTTGTCCGCAACTGCACCAGATCCGATAAACGACTCCAGACGTTTCTAGCCGTGGCAGTGGGTCTTTCGGTTTCATGATCAGACGCCTGATGGTTGCCTCCGGTCTGTGTGCCACTCCAACCCCAAGTGTTGCTAGAAGGCGGCCTACAGCTTCCGAAACGTTCTCGACATACGGAAGTGCCCGCCAAGATTTGGTGTCCGTGCGGTTAGGCCTTTCGTCCCTTTTGCGTATGCACCGGTCGACGAAGTTGCGCGGGTAGCCATTGGCTTTGAAGACCCGTCGGAGGTATTGTAGTTCAGCAGTTTTGTCTTCCGGCTCACTGCAGTGCGTTTCGACACGCCGATAGAGCGTCCTTACACAACTGCGTTTGTGGCCGATTGGGTGGTTACTGTTGAAGTTCAGTACTTGCATCGTATTTGTCGCTTTCCTGAACACTTTGGTCTTTAGTCCACCACAATCCTTGCGGCATACGAGGACATCCAGGAAGGCCAGCTGATTGTTCTCTTCCTCCTCCATCGTAAATTGAATGTCCGGGAAGACGGCGTTGAGATGTTCTTGGAATGTCAACACCTGATCCCGTTCGATGACGACGACGTCTCAAGTTCCTGACCGCTGAGTCAGATACCACGGTCTCTTCGTCAGCACAATTCCTGGAGAAACTCAAAGGGGTAAGCATCCATCCAAATGAGGTCATGGTATCTTTTGATGTTACATCCCTTTTTACTTCTATTCCCCAGGACCTGGCGATCGAGACAATTGAAGTGCTACTACAAAGCAAATACGATGAAACGGAGAACCGTCTTGGACACGCCCAAATCCTTCAGCTCCTGAAGCTCTGTCTCAGGACGTACTTCACGTTCGACGGGAAAATCTACGAACAGGTGAAGGGCACACCAATGGGTTCGCCGATTTCGGGATTCATCGCCGAGGCGGTCCTGCAACGGTTAGAGTCGCTGGTCTTCCAACACCACAGACCGAAATTCTGGGCCCGGTATGTGGACGATACCTTCGTCGTCATCGAAAGAAAGACATGTTAATAAGTTGCGCTAAAATAGGGGAACAAGAATTAAGAATAAAAGGTGAGACACGATGCGCCCCGTCAACTGTTGATTCGCGGACCCTTTTAAGCTGTTTCGTGTGAGAATCCGCAACCTCAGGCGGATAAATCTTTTGTTCTAGTAATTGCATCTTCGTCTTATATTTCTCTTCTTTTGCCAACCACATGTGGGAAGGCACATGGTAGTAGCGAAATGTTATTTAAATAAGATGGGATTCATTGTGACTTAAGATATAAATTTTGTTTAAGAAGCCTAAATTAGTATCCACGTGTATCAGTGTACTACGATGGTCAGTGTGACTATTAAGATTCTTCCGAATTTCAATAGCGATAGGGCGGCCAAAGGGCAACCGCTGTTCTTTCTGCCATTGTACGAACTTTCATAGATATAGGCAAAGAATTATTTGGAAATGTATACGGAGCGTTTATTAGTTCGCAACGGGAATATGGAACACAAAGGTGGCACTTTTGGATTAAAAAGTCTGTAAGTTACTGGAAAGAGTTCAGAGATCCGGGACCAAGCACAACATCTTATATATTGTAAACATTACTGGCAAAATTTCGTAGCATTTTTATTCAACGTAAGGCATTTTATGAACAGCTTTGAATAAGGGTTTCAAAGGCGTTGCCGATTACCCTTAAAATATACTGGCATGTATGTAAAAAATTACTAATAAACAGGCCATCTAGTCTGGCAATCTCTTCTTTACTAAGTTAGCAAATGCATTAAGGCTGTTAAGTAGGCCTAACTAGTAGATAAGTTCCTTTTGGCGTCTCAAGAATTTTAGTCGGACGTGCTGAGAACCTTAATCTTTCTCTCAGGCTTGGTTAACCATGGCACGTTTACAGTTAGAGTAGATTTTCGAAAGGTCTACTAACGTAGAAGGATCTGAATCTGACAACGGAGATCTGTCTTTAACACTAAAAAGCTTGAGGTGATTGATCAAAATGTGGCGAAGAGGGGTGTCAGCGCGAGTATTGAAGGAGATAACATCATTAAGGCCTAGAAGTGTGAGGGGACTAGGTTCACGCTATCAAAATCACTGCATAAGACAATAAAATGTTCGCAGGACAATATAGCAAGTCTTGTGTAAATTATGTAGAAACTGGACCAGAACACCTTCGCAGGTAGTGGAATGTAAAGACTAGCAAATATAATGCCTTTAAAATTACTCAACAACCGGAGCTTTCATAAAACAGTGATAACGTCTATCAAGTCATCAGAGTAAGAAAACAAGGACTTACCATCTTTTCACCTATTTTGGTTAGCAAAAATAGCAACGTCCCCCCTCTACCACAATGTAAGGATTTCCATTCCGTTTGAAGGCAGCAGAAAGACGGAGGAGTAATTAGCTGCGAATCAATGTCTTCATTTAATCACATCTCATGAAGAGAAAATCACTTCAGTTCAACCATGTTGTTTTTTCAACAAGGTATCTCCATGTCGTGGGTTTAGTCGAAGATCGAACGACAATATGTCTACAAGAAACCTGAAATTGACAACTTTTCTTTGACGAGTTGCCAGCCGTACCAGTGTTTTTTTTCCGATGCACAGGGTGCTCTAAACTATTAGATGGAATTTGCTGCACCTGAGATTTACATCGACATGCCTTCTATTTATTTTGCACATTTTAATGAATTTTACCTATTTTAATGGCAAACTGCACACATTGGCATTGTCCTGACTCGATATATACGGCTTTCAGATGCATTGGATCTAGTGATTATATAGACAGGTCTGTATGAATGGAATTAGGGCATATTAAAGTTATGGTTATAAGGGTATACTGGACAAAATAAAAGAGGTTGTTGCAACGGCTGTCTTTGCCATTTAGGGTGAAGTCTTTCACTTAAAGAGTCTTGAACTCGTAAAAAGTCATGACTTCAAAGTAACGCTTGAAACATCTACTTAGTCGTTGCTGGTTATCGTTGGTTTCTTTGTCTGTGGGATGACTCGAAAAGCCGAATAAAACTAAATCACTAACTCTATAAATCTTGCAAACTCCACTTTTTTGTGTCTCGAGATGTTTGGGCAGTGTAGTATAAGGTGGTATAAGGGACACCACCTTAAACAAAAAGATTTATTGACGACATTTGCTGAAAGTGAGCTAACCTTCAATTGTTAGTTCAGAATCATTAGTGTTTTCACGATTTTACTTGCAACGATTTAGATTA